AGGTGCTCATCGTGGGTGGTGTTGGCTGTAATCTCAGGCTGCAAGAAATGATGGGGCGCATGGCTGCCGAACGAAACGCCATCCTCTACGCCACCGATGACCGCTACTGCGTTGACAACGGAGCCATGATCGCGCATGCTGGTTGGGAGATGTTTCGTGTGGGCTGCACCACTCCCTTCGACGAATCCACGGTCACTCAGCGTTTTCGTACGGACGAAGTGGACGTCAAGTGGAGGACTGATTGACCGCTCTCCCGTTCATTGCCATATGTACATATATGCACCTTTTGAATTCGATGGGCTTTTTTTCGGCCTTTGTCATAACTAAGTAAGTAATAAGTCCTTTCTCCTGCCTCATTTCTGGTCTCTGCTATCGAGTTATAACCCCGCGCGGGTTTGATAGTAATTCCGGTTTAAAAATAGTTTTTATTTTCAGGAAGGGCAAGGGAGGCGAAACATAGAGAATTTAATGATGTCCTACATTTCGTAACCCCTTGTTCAACTATCAACGGTCACTGTATATTCACAGGACTAGCGGTTCAATGGAAGAAGACTCTAGGACGATCACACCTGGCAATTAAACAACTAGTTTGGTCTGTTTGTGAAAGATGTTGCAGCCTCGAAACTACGGCAGCAAGGGAGAGGGAAGTTTCAGTACAGCCAGTGATTTTACCACCGGAACCACGAGAACCCGACTGAGGACCGCGAGTTTAATCGCACTCGAGTCTGGTTGCTCGCCCAACAGTTTAGTGTGCTCAAGCCTTGCTGCTGTCGGCCGAGACCTACATGGAGGACGCCATGTTTTTCACCATGGGTTCCGATGAATCGTTCAAATGTGCCAAAATACCCACGATCGTAAAAAAAAGATGTTGGTCGGATATGTGGATGGGCGTGGTACGAGCGGTGGCCGAGGTGAGCGTGTTTTCGTCACGGCAAAGCCTCTGCAAACCCGATTAAGGCTGCCCGGAGTAAGGCATTAAGTAGTCATGTGGCAGGAGTGGTATTGATCCCTTCACAGACTTGATAGTTCGAACACCGCTTTCGTTTATGTCAACCATATGCCCAAGAGCAGGGAGGGTGACTAGAGACAGATGCGAGATTAGAGCGAAATAGACGCGCAACTGTCTACCGCACTCTAAATCCTTACCCCGTTGAACCGATGAGAAGACAAAGTAAAGACGACCGAACGGGCTCAAGCGTAGACCACTTTCTCCAATGCAGGGCAAAGCACCGCCTAACTTAGTGCTAAGTGACACTAGACTTGGCTCTGGCACTACCACACTACACTCACTCACCTTCAGTACGTGTCAAGACAGCCTCGAGGAAACCAAGACTGGCACTGCTATTTTTACTACTATTACTACGAACTAGGAGTGTAGCTGAGTGTCGGTAATACATGCACTATTTCTGACGTTAGTATTTGTCAGGGATGTTGCTGCTTAAAGTCGACGCTGGGGCTCATATCACCTCGATCTCAAAAAGTAGGGGGAATTTGAGTTTATGCTGTTCCGAGTTAATAAATGTTTTATGCCCGGAACACCTCAGAGCTTGCCTTTGTTTAGGCCCTCTCACCTCTGTCCACCAAAGGCTAAGAGTGCTAATTCTAGTAATCCGACTTACTAAGACCAGCGGATAGCATATTCCAGTAATATAGTCTTATAATTGTATCAATAGCTGACATGCACCCTATTTTTACAACAAGCATAACAGATGGGGATGTGAGCTTACGCGCGTCCTAAACTTCAACTGGGCTGATTTGTAAGACACCCGGGCGAGCGTTCACCTCCGGTAGATAGGTAAGACTGTCAGCAATGACAGTTCGACTATGGACTTCGCTGATGTCCACCATATGCCCAGGGGCAGGGATGGTGAGCGCCTCCTAAGCTTAGCGCGCCAGTGACTAACAGTTCTTTCTTCGTGAACAGTGACGGCCACCATGTATCCCACGAAGTTGGTGCAGTACTGGTGATTTTCGTGTGAATTATTTTACGATGAGGCGAGCCTGCGCAGCATCTACCGCACTCTGGCATGGCAATGCGAAGCAAAATACGTGTGGTGGCGTAAAGACTGGCATGGTTATCCTTTTCTCTGTACATTTGCGGCTTCGAAGCGGGCATAGGGGGGTTCCAATTATTGCCTGACGTAGGTGTGGTGACTTACTCCACATAGGCAAGTATGCCTCAAGGCCCACCGCTGCTAAAGCGTGCGCCTGCACTGAAGGCAGCCTCTTGAACAGCCAACCACAGATTCCGCAAAGCTGGTGTGTGTCGTAGCCCATTGTTGGATCAGAAATCCCCGCCGGAATCCAAACTGGGAGTAGTTGGGAGACGGAGAA